ATCCTTCTATCCTTCTATCCTTCTATCCTTCTATCCTTCTATCCTTCTATCCTTCTATCCTTCTATCCTTCTTTCCTTTTTTCCTTCTATCCTTCTATCCTTTTATAGAATATTTCCCTGAAATCAATGAACGCTCCCTTTGTAAGAATATTTCCCTGAAATCAATGAACACTCCCTTTGTTAGAATATTTCCCTGATATTAATGATCACTCCCTTTGTTAGAATATTTTCCTAAAATCATGAACACTCCCTTTGTTAGAATATTCCCCTAAAATCATGAACACTCCCTTTGTTAGAATATTTCCCTAAAATCATGAACACTCCCTTTGTTAGAATCATCGAGGTATTAGAAATAGAGTCCGGCATGCCTGGAAAAAAGCAGTCAGTTAAATTGCCTCTAAACTCTGTACAAATCATCTAAGGGGGTTAAATTTATTCAAATCAAATTTTCATTATCAAGTTTCATCTGTTGTTGAAAAATATAGTTTTCTCGAGGCTATTCAGTTATATTTAGTCTGATTAAATAATATTGACGAAAATGCCACTAAATTAGAATTCATTTTAACAATATGAAGTTCGGAGGAAAAGTTGATTTTTAAATGAAATTTAAGTTTTTTCTTATAAATATAACAGATAATCTTGCAATATTTAAACTGCAGCAAACATTTTTTATCAGAAGTTTAGAATTACTATTTTAAGTCGAAAAGCAAGAATGTTTAATATATATAGCTTGTGAACTCTTGTGGCAGAATTATGAACATTCAGTAGCAGAGGATGAATGTTGTCTAGCATAAAATGATGAACACTCCCTTTGTTAGAATATATCCCTGAAATTAATGAACACTCCCTTTAATAGAATATTTCTCTGAAATTAATGATCACTTCCTTTGATAGAATATTTCCCTGAAATCTAAGATCACTCCCTTTGTTAGAATATTTCCCTGAAATCTATGATCACTCCCTTTGATAGAATATTTCCCTGAAATCAATTAACACTCCCTTTATTAGAATATATCCCTGAAATCTATGATCATTCCCTTTGTTAGAATATTTCCTTGAAAACTATGATCACACTCTTTGATGGAATATTTCTCTGAAATTAATGATCACTCCCTTTGATAGAATATTTCCCTGAAATCAATGATCACTCCCTTTGTTAGAATATTCCCCTGAAATCTATGATCACTCCCTTTGTTAGAATATTTCCCTGAAATCTAGGATCACTCCCTTTGATAGAATATTTCCCTGAAATCTATGATCATTCCCTTTGTTAAAATATTTCCCTGAAATCTATGATCACTCCCTTTGTTAGAATATTTTCCTGAAATCTATGATCACTCCCTTTGATAAAATATTTCCCTGAAATCAATGAACACTCCCTTTGTTAGAATATTTCCCTGAAATCAATGATCACTCCCTTTGTGAGAATATTTCCCTGAAATCAATGAACACGCCCTTTGTTAGAATATTTCCCTGGAATTAATGAACACTCCCTTTGATAGAATATTTCCCTGAAATCTATGAACACTCCCTTTAATATATATTTTAGGATTTTATCATATCCCAGTGCTTGGTATATCTTCAAGGGACAGTGCCTTCTCCGATAAGGTGACTTATTAAACAAAATGAATTTTTAAGACTTTTGAATTTTCAAAATTTCACTTTCTATTTCTTATGGAGATCATTCACAATAATAAAAACAAAGTCTGTGAAAAGGAAATCGTATCTTTTTTATTGTAGGTTTTAATCTCTTTATTGTAGTTTTAATCCCTTTATTGTAGGTTTTAATCTCTTTATTCTAGGTTTTTAAACTCTTTATTGTAGATTTTAATCTCTTTATTGTAGGTTTTAATCTCTTTTTTGTAGGTTTAACACTTTTTTGTAAGTTTGAGTCTCTGTATTGCACGTTTTTGTCTCTCACTTGGGAGTTTTCGTTTCTTTTTTTAAATTATCTCTTTTGTGTGAAATTACAGTCTCTTACAGCTTCAGTCTTTCTATTGGGAGTTTTTTAGTCTCTCTTTCATGTAGTTTTTAAACTTAATTCTAAAACTCTGAAGTCTGAATTCTAAGATTGATATAGCTCTAATGTTTTCAATAATGCCTCCTGTAACATAATAGCTATCGAGACAAAAAATAATGTTTTGAACTTCTCAGTTTAATCGTTTAATTTTCTCATACTTGTTCGTAAAATGCATATACAGGGGGGGCAAGGGGGGCAGTTCCCCATAGACCTGTAAAGGGGGGGAGCGTATTCCCCCCTAGAACCAACCCTAGAACTCAGAGCTTTCACACTTTTCAAATCTTAAACTTAAGACTGAAGAACATAAAAGATAGTTTGTTGTTCATTCAGTGCACTAAGAAGATCTTATTAGTGAACCAGAGCCACCACTACAGAATTCCGAATGAAAAATCTATTAAAAATGTACATTTATCCCAATGTTTGGCTTGGCTTGAGTTTCGAGGTAGTAAAAGAAGCTCTTAGGGGCGGTTGCAAAAAAATGTTTTGCTCTTCGCGCGCAAATTTCGCCCACGCCCACTAGAACTATTTCTGTATACGCCCTTGGCTACGAGGTCACAACGTTGTTCTTGCCCATAAATTTTACCTTCTCCTGTAGTGAGCTAACAGTAACAAAATCTGCATTGTACATTTATTAATATGTAAAATAAAATATATATTGTTTTACCAGAGATTGAATATAAAATATACCGTCCTTGTAAGTTGCAGGGCCCTTTGTGTTTGTTTGTCAATTCTTAAGATTTTTTTTCCACCAACAAAAGAACAGAAAAAGCTAGTTTAATAAAAGAATTGTGCATCATGCAGATCAAGATTAAAATAGATGAAAGAACATTTTCCCATCTCTGATGAATTCTTAATTTTTTCATTTAAACTTAAAATATAAAAAAATTTCAAATAAAATCTAATAAATATCTGATTCTAAATCCTTTTGTTTTTGTTAACTGTAAAATTCCGTGTAGTATTTAATTAAAAACAATTAATGTAATTACATTTTTAAAAGTAAAAAATCGACCTTTTATTAAAATTTTTTCAAAAGATTATTCAATTTAAGAATAAAGTAAACAATTAACAAAATATTTTAAATCGTTTATTAGGAAAAGTTTTTAGACTAAAGAATATTTGACAGTTTAATAAAATTATATGACACTACCTGAAGTGCCCGGCGTTGCCCGTTGAATTTTGAAAAAAAGAAAGTATTTTTAAAGAAAGAAAAAAAATTTAGCCTTTGAATTTATACATGGGGTCTGTTAAAAAATGTCAGCCAATTTGGTCTAACCATTTGGCCAACTAAAGCTAACATATAAATAAAGCGCGAAGAGCTTTAATGTAAAGATGAGTTTTCAACTAGGATTACTAGGATTATCTCAAACATCTATGATTAGACAAGGTTGGGAATCGAACATTTCACTCTATAAATACAGAATCACTTGAGAATACGTCATCAGTCTCTTCTATATTAAAGAAGTCTAATTTTGAAATGATAAGCCTCAAGAAAATATCTCAGTAATCTTTTAAAAGCTAGAGATTAATAAACAAATTCCCCAGGATAAAGAAGGATTTAGATTAGGAAGTGCAAATTAGGAGAATTGATAAATACACCAAATTCTGAAGCAGAGTTCTGTACTTAAAAAGTTTGAGAATAAAGAAAAACTCCAGAAAAGAACATTACTATAAATTCTGATGTATTTGATTCCCTTTAATAAAGATGGCATTTTGTGTGGATCTTTTCCAGTAATGTTTGATATCTAGTCTAGATGTTTTATAAAACAAGTTTTTAAGCTTAT